GCATTTTGTCCACCCTCTCCCCTCACTGTTTTTCAGCATGAACTCTCTCATCCGGACAGGCTGGGCCCTCTCCTGGCCCCAGTCAAGCCATACTTATTTCCTCCACTTTAAACCTTTCGGCTCATGGTTTACACTTCCATGGGCTGCTCTCCTCTCCCCTCTCTCCCCATCTTCCTTCCCACACTCATCGCATCCTCAAATTCCTCTCTTTCCGTGAAGCTGTCTCATACGATTGACCCTCATAGAGGTGTCTGCTTTTCCTCATCTCTGGCACTCGATGACATGTCATCTTGTTTACTTCTCTCATCTATTTAATTTGTCTTCCACCAAACTGTAAGCTCTCTAAGGACAGAGACTAGATCGTCTTCTTCCCCCACTTCTTTCCACGGCGCCCATCACACAATACTGTTTCATTGATTGAATCGGTAAGTTCATCATCATTTTACCACTGGGGAAACAGAGGCAACTGATCAGGGAAGAACCTTGCCCACAGTCATGCCATGACTGAGGCAGAGAAATGCTAAACCTCTGCTGGGTACGTGTGGATTCTCGCTTCTCCTAGAAGGCCGTGTCTATGGGACTGGCTGGTGACACAGACGACTGGACCATATCCAGCAACAACTGAGTGCATTGCGTATGACATGAGAACTGAACCCATCTGGGATTTTATTCAAACTTCTGGCCAGCAGATTTCAGATGGATATGAAACGGGCACACCCAGAATGGACAGTAATCTGACTAAGGACTTTTGGTGACTGATAGGATGGAGCCCTGACAGGGGGGTTAGTCTCTGACCAACTTTGGCAAACTTCTAAGTAATATGCAATCTTTATGACTTCCTTTTTATTTTATTTTTTTTTCCTGAGCAAGAGCTTCTCTGGTTTCATGGAAAAGAAAGAAATATCTTAATGGGAATCTGGAAGGTTCTCAGTAGAAGCAGCAACTCACCATTGGAAAAGCTTGCCTCTCTCAGTGCCTGGTGTGTGTGTGTGTGTGTGTGTGTGTGTGTGTGTGTGTGTGTGTGTGTTGTTTGGTTTGGTTTGGTTTGGTTTTAGAGTTCCATAGTGTGTGTGTGTGTGTGCGTGCGTGCGTGCGTGTTGTTTGGTTTGGTTTGGTTTTAGAGTTCCATGGCCACCCTAGTTATTTTCCATAGGATACTAGTGCTCACTCTCTAAGGACTGTTTTGGCTGAATATTGTGATTCCTCTTGCACCAATACATCACAGAGTTCCTTTGTGGGAGCTGAGAAATCCAAGTTGAGCTTTAAAAGTGAAAGACACCATCTTTTCCTTTCTTCAAAGGTTGGCTTTTCTGGACACTTATAGCAATGTTTTGTAAAGCAGAGTTTAAAGGAAAAGGTGTTGCCTTCAGATCCTGCAGGTAATCCTAGGACTGGCTTCTTACAGTTTTAACTGTGTGACTGAGACATGTTGCTAACTTCTCTGACCTGAGCTTCTTCACCTTCCCAACTCCAAATGGTCGAAAGGTTTTGGCAGAGTCTCCTGAGCAAAGTACCTTGTCCCTAGAAGTCGTTCTTGGCCATTGGAGTTTAGGATGTAACTGGGTCCATATGCTTGTTTCTGACATGGCTCAATAATTCACTTCTGACATTTAATATAAACCAGGCATTACTTTTTTTTTTTTAGTACTGCATTATAGTCATGTTATTCTTTCCGTTAAGTTTTATGAGGCTTAGGCATTTGTGGGCCCACAGAATGGTGGATTTATAGAACATGAGGCCTGGAAAGGACTTTATAGATCAACTAGAATCCAACCCTCTCATTTTACACATGGAAAATTAGAGGCAAAAAAGGGTAAAATAATTTGCTGAGCAAATATCGAATCACTAATAGAGAGAAACTAAAATATAACAGCCATTTCTATTCTTGAGACACCTTCTGTGTGCTAGACACTTAGCTCGATGTGCCAAACATTGTTCTAGAACTTGACATGTGCAACTGCCTGAGCTCAGGCTGATGTTAGGAGGCAGAGAAGAGACTTAGCCTGAGGTCTCTCTGGTTTCACCGCCCTTCCTCCTCCTACACAACCTTCTTCCAAAACCAGACCTCCTCACGTCCATTCCACCACGCTAAACATCTAGGTTGACATGGGTGGTCTTTTGTATGGAAGGTTTTTAAACCATCGAAAGAAACAACTTCCCCTTTTTTCCCTTTTAACATAGTGACCAAAGCCAACATCTTTTCTCTGAGCGTCACTGAGAACATGATTCGAGGGTTGGGATTCTTTAAAACTGACGCTAGATTTGAAAGTAAGTGCTGGGACATAGAGGCAGACAGACCTATGGGAAATCAAGATCCCTGTTCTACTGGATAAAACCTAATGAGCCCTAAACTTCCCCTGCCTTGCCTGACATGTCAAACTTCAAGAAAGATACACTCAAATTGGAGAGAGAGAGAAGCAAAGCAATTTCAAGGAGGTTCAAGGATCCCTACAAGAGGCACTAGAAAAATTAAAATAAAAAGATTTTTATAGACCAGGAAAAAAATTTTAAATGGTGAAAAAGAATTAGTCAGAACCTGTAAACCAGAGTTAAATGGTAAAGAGAGCTTTGCTAGCCAAATCTAGAAATTCCATTCATTTGATCAGCTATCCAAATATTTATTGAGCACCTACTATATGTGGGAAACTGTACTGACAGTTGGGGACTACGGTGATACAAAAATGTCACTAGATACATAAAGCATGAGCTTTGCCATAAGAAGCTTATACGTTCAAGGGCAAAAGAGAACAGATCGCCATAACACAGCTCAGAGGCATCCCTTGAACTTCTTTTTAGATAGAGATATGCTTGTGGGGTTTTTATGAATTGTCAGAGAGAAACAACCAGGAAACAACAGGGAAAGTGAAAGTCACTCGGGGAAGTCTAGAGTGATGTACCTGACCTCCAAGGCTGACACTGGGAAGTCTCACGACAGAGGATCCACTGCAAAGACAAACTTCTGGGCAGGAGATTTCTATGGCAGTGTCACTTCCCTCTCCAAACTCTTGTCTGCATCTGCGTGACGAGCACTCTTGTGGGTTCCTGCACCCTCGTCTGCCCTTGCAGGGAAGTGGTGGCTGTGGGGCTAACTGTGACATCAGCTGGCCTCTGCAGCCTGTGAGATGGTGCTCAGCTCTGTTAGATTCTGCTTCTTGGCCTGAGCACACTCAGCAATGGCAACAGTTGTGACTGACATATAATAGATGCTCATTTAATACTTTCTAAGTGTAAGAAGACCGGGGCCAGGGGCCTGAGCAGAAACGACCTTCTAGACCAGAGGCAAGAGATCAGATACTGACTGCGTGAAATCGTTGGTTTCTACCTGACACCTCAATTTGCATAATGGTGATCATAGGTGAAGAAGCTTTACCATCATCATTCTAATATCTTGGTGGATTCTCTTTGACAGAAGAAATAGAAAAAGAATCTTGCTAGATCCATGACTGGTGTGTGGGTTCTTCTAGAAGGCACTGTAGACCTGCTCAAGTGCAAAGAGATGCACTGAAATGGAAACAGATGGGGAATCTATGATGAATTCCTGTCTCCAGGCCAAAGGCCTGGGCCCCTTTCTGCAGATTAAGTCAGATGTCCTCAGAGGACTTTGCCTCCTCCCTTCTTGGTGGTTTGTTTCTCAGTCAGAACACCCAGAGGAAATACTTCCCCACTTCCTCCACCTCCCCATGCATTGGTCACCTGCTGGGCCCTACAGAAGCCAGGCCATCTGGTTTGGGTTGTGGCTGGGAAAAGGGGCTGTAGAACACTTCCAGCATTAGCTCAATTCCTCGTGCCCTGGTAAGTGGAGCCTGATTTCTGACAACGTCCTCTCTCAGAGTTTCCCTCCTGCCCTCATTAATGCTAGCTGGTGGAGAGAAGGCCCTGGCACCAAGGCAAAGATTTAAGTTGAAGGCAAAAATTTTATTGCTATTTGATTGACTCATTTCCCAGCTTTGTCCAATCAAGAGCCAAAGTCCTATATGATAGAGAAATATTAACCAACGACCTTCTCCTTTCATCCAGGCGACAAGTAATAGTGTGATAATGAACAAACAACTCAATTCACCATCCCTTTCAGTCCTACAGTCTTTTCAACTTCCCATCACATGGAAGAGATCAGAACGTCTATCCAGGGACTGGAACGAATGAGCCACTCAGAGTACGAATGGGAAGAAGATTCCGTTACAATGTCCTTTTCATTTTGCAGTCTCGGGCTCCTCTTTGGACACCACGTGTGATAAAAGAGGGCAAAAGCAGCTCCGTGGACATTAGGAGTCTACCCCACCCGATTCCCAAATGGGCTTTATGAAAACAACCAGAGCGTTACCAGTTGTCATCATTTGAGTTTCTGGGGGTGCCCTGACATCTTGATATACTAAAAGAAACACAGTACTGTAATGACTAAGAGCGTGAACCCAGTAGCCAGGCTACCTGGGTTTGAATGCCAGCTCCATTGCTTACTGGCTCTTTGGCTTTGGGCAAGTTACTTAAATTCTCTATGCCTCAGTTTTCTCATATGTAAAAGAGGGATAATAATAGCACTCCCTCGTAAGGTTGGTATATGGATTAAACAAGTTAGCATATAGCAATGTATTAGTATATAGAAATATGTTACTAGGAATATATTAAACAAGTTAGTACATAGGAAACAATTAGAATGGTCCTGGCACATGGTTAGCACGCTGTTTGCCATTATTACTGATTGTGGTGATGGTATCACAAAAGCATACAGCTATTTGCAAAGAAGCAAGTGCAAAAGGTATAAGAGCTCTAAATTTCAGGAAAGGTTGTGGGAAAGAAAGATGAACTTTTAGGCACCGCCAAAGGAGACTGGCAATGACACACCACGGCGAATGCTCAAAATTACTGGTCTGTGGGAATGATCTCTCTTCCCACTGGAGTTTTCCAATTAATCTACGCTCTCAAAAGCCGAAGACTCGAGGTAGGTTTTTAGGGCTTGAGTTTTCCAAATCACCTCCTTGGTGACTCAGCCTCTCTCCACCCACCTGGGACCTGTCCTCCCATGCTTGCACTTAGGAGGGACACCTGCCTCAGGACAACATACTCAGGTAGCCAGTACACCCCAAACTCGGGGATATTTGGCATCATGAGATTCTGTTCACTCACAACACCCATCCCCTCATTTCGCATTTGACTCCATCTCCGAGTCTCACTGGGCAGATGATCCACGGGTAGCGGGGTCATCTACCAATCACTTCAGATTTGGTAAGCTCTGCAGAGAGGTTCGTCATTGCCAAAGTGGCTCCCTGTCAGATGTCAGGCTTCCCTGAAGAATTGCCCCTTTAGTAGCTGCAGGAGACCCACAAAGAGGGCAAGAATCTCTGTGAAACTCTTCTGCCTCTCTCCCAGCTGCCGCCGCCTTCCAGAGCAGGCATAGGCACTGGATGGGTGTGAGCCTCTCACCCAAGGAGTCCAAACTCAGATCAGCATCTCTAAAATAACTAGACCTCTAAGCGGGTGGCTGCTGGGGAGTGTTTTATTTTGAGGCTTAAATTTCAGGGTTGGTGTTATCATCCTGCCTGGCTCCCACTCCCTTCTCAGCTCAGGAGCCTCGTAACCCTGTCCTTACTCAGACATCCCAGCCACAGCAAGCAGCCACCAAAGCCGCAAACAGATAGGTGATCTCCCTCTTTGGGGAGACCAAACATGAGCTCTGCGATGGACAGCTGGCCAGCCAAACGCCCTCCTTGGGCCTGCCCTGAGCAAGACAGCATCACCATTATCATCGCATAAACATAAACATATTTGCATCTCAGGTGTACTGTCCAACATGCGGCCATATATATGGATAGAGATATTTCTATATTCCAGACATTCATTTCAGTTCAACAATTACTGGTAACAATTGTGGACCAGCACAGTGCTCTGGGACCACACACACACACACACACACACACACACACACACACACCCCCCCTTTATGTCATGGGCTTCCACAGTGCTGCAGAATACAGATAAGAGAAATTCTATGTCAGGTTCAGGGTTTCTCCTTAAAGGAGTGTGAAAGTCATTAGCACTCCATGAACCCCCCCAAATCACAAGGCCTTCCTGCACGATTTCACTCTGAAGCTTTAAGGCTAATTAACTGGTGACTTTTCGGAACGACATACCACACTGTCACAGATGAGGTTACTGGGATGGCCGCCATCCTGTTACACCAGGGATTTTCAGCTGGGGGCAACTTTAACCCCTCCCCTAATCTGGCAATGTCTGAAGGTATTTTTTGTTGTCACCCCTGAGGTGGGCGGATGTACCACCAGAACCTAGCATGTAGAAGCCAGAGATGCACAGTCAGCCTCTACCAGGAAACTCTAGGCTAGACTGTGAGCTATGCAGGGGCAAGGACTGTGTGCTCCTGACAATACCCTCTCCAGTGCCTATCACCTGGTGCACAGAGTAGGCAGTGCATAAGCATTTGTTGGATATATTATCTAGTAAGTTAATTAGCTTATTTGAGGGTGGGTAAATTAATAGCAGGATAACACAAATACACACACCCCTTTCTCATTCCCTCTTGTTCATATATTCAAATCCTATCTTGTCTGCATCGACCGCTCCTCTCTGTCATTGATTCCTCCAGTCCTCCTTGCTGTGCCTCAACTTGACAATGCCATTAGCCTTACCATCTAAACTGGCCAGGCTATCACGCAACTGTCCTGTGTTACACGTGTAGAACCATAAAGTTCTTGAATGCAAGGCCCACATCTCATACATTTAATTCCCACAGAAGACACCTTATAAATGCTTAATGATTGATGAGCAAGACCCACATTATGTGTAGACACGTGCATTCAGATGCACATCTACTTATAGACATAACCATGTATGTATGTCCACATCTAGCAGGCAAAAATCAAATATGTGTCTTTTCCTGGTACTTCATATATTGGGGTGATCAAGAAATGAAAAAACAGAGGAATAATAAATATTTTTCTCGAAAGTACACATTTTCTGAACCAAACGTCAATTTAATGAGACATTAGACTGATTAAAGAGTTGTGAAGATGTGGATTTATTTATGCAAAAAGTCTTGCAAGAGTTTTGACTTTTAATCACTTGAAGCCATGCATTTATTTATAGAAAAATATATAAACTTTTGGTCAAAATATATACTATGTGTCAATTGGTAGAGTGTTTGCATATTCAAAACCCTGACTCTGGAAAGTCTGCAATGCATGATTGCTGTCTCCATGCCAGGCCAAACCCACAACCACAAACTTTAGAAAGCACCTCTTCCTTACTCTGGCAAATCGGGCTGGCTTCCCAAACCCTTATTGGCCAGCTTTGGGAGAGTATACTTTTCATAGAAAAATTTCAACTTGCTACATGAGTGAAAAGTGGGTTTTAAATTTAAGATAGGCGGCATTAGCCTACCCTGGTAATTCTAAAGAACACGTGCTTCCCATTCAAGGAGAGACACAAAGGAAATTGAGTCATCAGTTTCTTGCTGTACAAGCCCCCAGAATTTCTCTCTGAGGCAGAAAAGATCCCCTAGGCTTTGTCTGGCAACATCTGCCACCTGCTTCGCTTATGCTTTTACAAGAGCCACTTCCCTGTCAGCCTCTGGGTGGAGTCAGCTAAAAAGGGAGGGGCTGGGAAGACGCAGCTGCCGCCCCTGCCTCAGCTGCAGCCAGGGCGGAAGGCTGAGGAGGCTCAGGTAGGTGATGGGACCTCAGCTGGGAGCCATCTGAAACGCCCGCTGATCTGAAATCTCACCCGGGTGGTTACATGCCACCTGGAAATCCACCTTGATTTCAGTTCGAGGTCCTTGACTTTTGTGGAGAACGATGTCAGCCCACCCCCTGGGGCCTCAACACTTCCCCCTACTGAAGCTCATGCTAAATGCTGAGGGTTTCCAATGAGCACGGAACCAGGGAGCCTTCTGGGTCAATGCATCTAAAAGCTGGCAGAGTCAGCGTAGAGCCCGTGTAGGGCCTCTTTCTTAATTTTCAGTTGGAGGGCATTGCCCTAACTTGTCTCTTAGATAAGGAATAGTTTCTCCCTTTTTTCCAAGCCTGCAAATGAGAGCATGTCTAGAAGGGCAGCTGGACTCTGATAAGGGAAGGGACTTATTTTAGTAACAAATGACTAGGTTGGCATCTCTTGACAGCTGTGGCCAAACCTGGGGAGAAACAGGCCAGGGCAGGGTAGGGCAGGGCAGCCAAAAGTCCACAGCCTGCCAGGAGAGCGAAGACACCCATGCCAGGCTTCATGTTAACTGGCCATAAGGGATGGGGAGGGTAGGAGAACCACACACAATATCCAAAGTCTGCCAGAGGCAAAGTAATAAATCAGAGGAGCACAGAAGTTGTAGTCTAATGTGGGGGATATTAGACAATGGCGGATCCCAACTCCCCCACCTCCCCGAACTTCAAATTCTTTATTTATAAAATGGAGTTAAGAAAGTGTTAAATGTGTATAGGGCTGTTGTGAGGCTTCTATATGATAACGTATGCTAACCCCTTACTGAATGCTTAATATAGAAATGGTGCTCAGTAAATGGTACTTCCTAGGGACTTAGGACTCTGCACAGCAGCATATGGTTCAGTAGCCGAGTGTCAGGCTTTTAAAACTGAGGTACTCCTAACTCTGAGGGATCCAGCAATGGTCCAAGAGGCCCTGGAAACCCCAGGACACTTTGAGTATCAAACTTTGCTTTATGGTTTATATATGAGAACTATATATCTCCTTATTCCAATATTAAACTCAAACTGGGTATGTTGTGGATTAAAATTTAAAAAATGTCATAAGTGTTTAAGATAGTATTTAAGGATTGAAACATCACTAGACCACGCCCTGCTCACCCTCTGCAGTCCTCATTACAGTCCTCATTACAGTTATCATTACAGTCCTCGATGATAGTGGTATTTCAGAGACCAGTGTATGAAAAGTGTCCTGCCCTAACACTGTTAGAGAGAGGGGAAGTCATACCTCCCTCTCTTTCAGAGTCTGTTTCCTCCCAGGGAAAAACAAGGGGTTTTTCCGAATGATCCTTGGCATCCTCGGCTCTGAATTTATGTCAATGAGTCAAGAAATATTTCTTGAATGAATGGACGGGCAGTCTGTCATAGACTAAGAATTTCAGGCTGCGCAGCATCCCCTCCTGCGTGGGTTAATTTGGAAGAAAATAGAACCTTTTCCTACTAGCCGCCAGCCTCAAACACGCCTACCTGGCATCCTGCCTTTGCAGGAAGTAGATATCCAGTGTATATCTGGCAAATAACTGAATTAATCGATGCTAACTTCAGCAGTGATGGAGCTTTGCTTCCTTCCTCCTTCACCTGGGAAAACACTGCCAAAGCTCCAACTCCCAGCAAGAGGGGTCTCTAATGCTCAGAGGGGGCATAAAGGCGCATGCGGCGCTCAAGTCCCAGAGCTCTCAGATGCACTCCTCTTTCTCAACACTAGGGGCACGATTTCCTAGCAACGACCTCTGCCCCACAAAGGAAAGGAGGAGGAGATGCGTGCAGGGGGCTCACCCCACTCTCCACCAAGGGCCACTTTCTTGCTTCCCCCATGTGGCACCTAGTTCAAGGTATCTGTTCTCTAACTCAGGGTTTCTGGGTACAATGTGGTTTAACTATATTTGGCCACTTCTCTACTTTTTGCTTTCCGTTATGGGGATTGGATCTTTCTTCCTCCCCGAAGTCTTGTGCCTTTCCAAAGTTTCCTCGTTGTCTTCCAGAGCCCACCATCCCTCGGAGAGGGGCAACGACAGTGCCTTCTCCCCGCTCCCTTTCTCCTTCCCTTCTCTGTCTGCCCAGCCCAAGCCCACTGTTAAGTCACGTCTCCTTTCCAAGTCTTAGTTCCTGCCAAACAACTTTATGAGCACATGAAAGCCAGGTCCCAGGCAGTTATTGTTACCGGCACTTTTTTGTGCCTCTTCCAAATGATGCTGCCCAAAGCAACCATAGAAACGTGGGGCAGGAGTGAGCCTGCTAGTCTCGGGAGAATCGCAAGGATCAGGACAGCGCCAAAGGTTTGGGGGACAGGGTCCTTTAGAAGTATCAGGCAGACAGGTTAGAAGGAGTTGGGAGTCAGAATCCTCAAAAACAAAGCAGAAGACATCACCAGAAGGTAACATACAAATAAACTTCCCTAGAGGCCCCTCTTCTCTGAGGCCAGGGCCAGGACTCTTCCTGTACTCAAGTTTCCCTCTTCTTTCTCATCCCAAGTGTTTCTGC